TTTTGTGATTGGTTTGCTGAAGTCACGGCAGCGATCTCCCGCTCCTCTATCAGATTGTAGCCACAGAAACAATAACACATTCACACATGATTTACTAAGGCAAGATCTACGGAAAGCCTTCTTTTCATTTAGTCAAAGCCTTCACCTAGCTCGACTCTCAATCTCAGGCCACATGATCTGCCTAATGAGTATGGATTTCTGGAAAGAGCCATCAAAAGGCAAAGCTCTAGATGCAAACCAAAGCTCTCTATGGAGTGAACAGCCCAGCTGCAGAGCAACATATTCAGTTTCAACTCTCCACCCCAGTGCATTAGGAACAAAAACAAATGCAGAAAAGAGAACAATGAACCGTCTTCTCTTTCAAAACACTGCAACGTCCCATCAACCCTTCATAAAGGGACATGAAGCAGTTAACAAGACTGTCGGCCTCTCTTTTGGAGTTTGTTAAGAGGGAAGTATTCATGCCCTGTGATGATATGCACAAAATACACTTGCAATTTTTCTGCAGGTAAATCTCTGGCATGCATATTTACACAAGACCATCATTTTCGTGTATCCTTGCGTGCCCTACTTAACCCAACTGCTTTATTGAGAAAATAAGGGCCAAGTCTGGGATGATATCGAAATTCCACCACTCTCTCGGGGCACATGCCCTACCTTTACCATCAAACCGTGCTGTAAAGTCAAGGTAAAGAGAAAAGAGACGACAGGCAGAGTAAGGTGGATGTGGGGTTTGGTCCTCTGAGATTCTGCATTGCTGCATACACGCGTCTTAACTAGCCTCTAATCTAGGGGCTCACGTTGGGCTCCTCCATCAGGCTCCGGGGGTCCCAGCTGACCCCATCAGGGGATCAGCCCCTTCCACGGGCTCCTGAGTGGGGGTCTGGTTGTTGGGTTCAGCTGTGATGACAATGGTGTTCTCGTCCACCAGTTCACAGGTGGGGTTGGCGAAGGCAGAGAGAGGGAGTGTGATCCGATGCATCTCACGCTCATGAACCCGCTGCTCATGCTGCTTCTTGAGGTCACGACCCCTACAAAGAAAAAATAAAAACATTTAGTTGATCAGATTATCTTATTGAAAAGGTCTTCTGTACATAGATATCAGGACTGCACCATGAGCATAAATCCTAGGGGGATGGGGTGGACATTAAAGTAATTCTCTTTAAGTTAGTAGTAGATGCACATAGATATATACATTAGATGTCGCCTACCCTGTTGTTGTCTATTAAAAGGAATGAGTCAATAGAGCCACCATTTTAGTACAGGGTAGCCCACCATTTTAGTACAGGGTAGCGCTCCTTTGAAATGAATGCGGGACCAAGCTTCAGTGGAGGACTGGGGCCATCCAGAGCCAGAAAACTACACATATCTATGATCGGGAGTTTCCCAGAGGTCAGTGTGCAGTTTTTATTTTTATTTTTTCAAATTACGAAACTTATAACTTTGCACCACTTTTCTACATTGATGGATCAGTGACAAAAAGCTTGTGTTTGTGTGGATAGAAATGTACCATCCACCCTCCCTATTTGATTTGATCTAATCCGTTTCCTGAAACACACCTCCTCTCCTGCTTTCACTTCTCATACTGACAGAGGGAGCGATTCGTTTGTGAATGAATCTCAGTTATGAACGACTCCTTCACTTAGCTGACAATAATACAAGTTTCTGGCACCGCAGCATCTTGTTGTCATATTTCTTTTGCATTGCTTGCTGATTTTATTCAACAAAGCTAGCATAAGCCGAGTGTTTGGTGCGAGTTGGTGCTACTTTGCCAAATGGTGAATGCAGTAAGAGACTATTATCAATAACGTTACTTGTTTAGCACAAAAGCTCATAGCATACACAAAGTAAAAAAAACTAAACATTACCAATGAAATGTTCTGCCTTTGTGCTTTGTTTTCTTTGTTTGCTCTTTACTACACCCGTAGACAGCACTAAAGTCCAGCATCTTCACGCAGTAACACTGTCTTGACTAGTGCGGTTGAATGACACTTGTCCTCGGAGCACTGTACAAATATGGCGGCGCTACTGACGCATGCTCAGGGTCTGTATGCGATATCTAGTGTATATATCTATGGTTGATGCAGACTCATTCATAAATTAGTTGCAACAACAATGCTGATTACCGATGTAATTTTCCATGAATCTGCTATATTAGCATTCAAAAATATTACTTATCTAGTTAATATTAGCTTGATTACAATCACTTGTTATATAGTCCACTGCAGCGAACTAAACTAAAAGCAACACTTGAATTGTTTTAGATCAGTGTGTTACTCCTGTCAGCATCTGTTGTTGCTGTTCAGTGCTCCTTTAGAAATGTTGTTTTTCAGGTTGTAGAATGTCTGAGAAATAACATGCTGTATTCTGACGGTGGGTTGTGTGGGTTTGGTGTCCATCAGTAAAATGTAAATTTGCTTTTGAAGGCAAAAATAAAAATACAATAAAAAATTTTTTTTTTCTTTAATTCGTTTTGAAAAATACATAATGTTTTTACTATTAAAAAAAACGAATTAATAAAACTTTAAAATATAATTCTCTGGATGTCACAGACCATAAGTATTGGACCTTGAACTTTTGACCTTAAAATTTGGATTTCTTATTGGAAAAACAGAATATTTAAGATTGACCATTTGCTATTCTGTGCAAATAATACTATAAATAATAATCGTATTTTTTTTATTTGAAAATGTGGAATCAGTTGTCCAAATCAGAGGTTTCCAAACTTTTCAGCCGGCGACCCACAAATTAACAATGCGACTTGTTGCAACCCCAATATCCTCTGAAGTGGTTATGAATATATAAAATTTGCACACAACAGCAACACAATAGGTCCCGTAGAAGTGTATTCTTTAATTAATTTTGGAAAACACCGCTCAGAGATCATCCGCCATGTTCAGTTATGCCCTGTATTTATTTTTCATGTATGAGAGTTTCGTAAAGGTGTGTCAAAGTTTATCATAGTGCTATGAAATTAATCTGCTGCATCTGATGCTGTAGCTGTGTCTTTAATATAATGTAGTAATCCCAGGAGTCACAAAAAAATTTAATTAAAATAAATCAATAAATATTGAAAGGCTGAGGGCTTTGAGATGCTTTGTTTGCATGTTGTTTTTAATGTTACTATTACCTACGTTTTTAGTTCTTCAGTAGTTTATGAAAAAAATATGGTAATTCTTATAGCTTAATAAAATCTTTAGATTTTTGGAAAATCACTCAGCAACCCCCCTCATTGTTCTGCAACCACCCCAGGGGGTGCAAAATACACACCAATTCTAGTAGACCAATACGGACTATGTAGTAGTAGTATTATCATTACTTTTTTTCCAGAATTGTATGTTTTATTCTAATGATGTTTGATTGTTGTTGCAGTTCAGTTTATAGCCATATCAGAATTAATTAACTGATATTGATAATTAACTCAATATTTAATTTACAAAAATACCATAAACCCCATACAGTACAACTTTTAATTCAACTTAAATAGATAGACATGGTTGAGTACCAACAAATAGTTGCATAAACGATTGAAAATCTTTAATTGACAACATGACAGCACTTTAAGTTCCAGATTTTAGACATTCAATTATTTTCTCTGCTGCCATTAAGCTGTGGATATTTAAGAGTTCTCCAGACTCACATGCTCCGTCTCTGCAGCACAGATTCAAAAATCTTTCTGAATTACATAATCATAATGAATAACTTATTATGTCGCGCTTCCACTTCATTTCCTCTGAATAAGCAGAAGATTATTTCCATTTCCAATACATATCAATTTGAGCTAGACCGAAATATAAATTTACCAGTGACGCACTACAGACAGAAGGAGGGATTTGCCCCTATTTTTAGCACCAAGATATAAATGAATGACTGCAGATGGAGAGAACCAGATCTAATTCATCACTGGCTGCCAAGAAAGAGACAGATTTCAAGGATCACTCTCCAATTCCTAGAATCGTCAAAAACAACGAGAAATCAATGCTGGAGAAAGGTCAAAACAATGAACTGCTTTGAAATGATCAAAATATTGTAAATGCACATTTTGCTATATATAGATATCTCAATAGTTTGCAATAAAGGAGTGATTTAACCATCTAAAGACTTCAGAACAAACAGGCATTTGTGTGTGGCATTCATAGGCTATTTATCCAAATCTGATCAATAAAACAAAGACGTACTATCTTTAAACCCTGACCCCGTGTTAATTGGATATGCAAACAAAGCAAAATAGATTTTTGGCATACTGATTTATATGAAAGTGAATATAGGTCTATAATCATCTTTAAATGTGTACAGCTAAGGCTAGACATATTAATTTAGTTCATTTATTATTGATAACATTATTTTGTAATAATAATAATAAGCCATTTTATTTATGAATAAATTAAATATTATATTATAATAGAATAAAACGTGTAAAAGGTCTACAATTAAGCAAAATTAACCAAATATTGTCTTTCAAATCGCCATAGGCCTCAGCTCTCTGCGATATCTCTGCCTATTGTCGATACACAATACTATTGTCTATCAACAACCATAGTATGAACACAGTGGAACCACAGAAGCCTTCAAATGTCTCAGGATCCTTGCTGTATATAGTGAGAGAGCTCCAGGATTTCATCTAAAATACCTTAATTTCTGTTCTTAACATTAAAAAAAGGTCTCAGGGCATAATCATGAGTAATTCGCAGCACAATTTTTAATTTTGGGTGAAGAAACCATTTAATTAGATTAGAAAAAAATATCTATAACTGGTTTATTTCTCTAGCAATATGATAATTCACAATATTCACAAGACATTATTAAAATAATCATTGCATATCACATATACTGCCAGTATTGTGCAGACCTAGACCGAACACGTCTCTTCACTCCCATCTTTCCATTTCATCCATTCACACAGTGCACAGCAGATCTGCAGCAGGTTATGCAATCCTCCTACACTTCCCTACTAGTGTGTCTACAGTAGACTGAACTGAACTTACTGGTACCAGCTTAATTTCTCTTCATGAAATTACACAGGCAATCTGGCACAAAGTAAATTGATGGCTTGAGGAGATATATGTGCTGTGACACCATAACATTTCATGCGAGTGGCTTTGTCCTTCTACCCTCCTCTGTCCAGCATTCTGCCTGCTTATTAATATCGAGCCAATGATTTGCAAGAAAGAGGATGACATGAAAGACATAATCAGCTGATGCACGAATACTCAATGAGCAAGGATACTGGGTGTCCTGCCAAACTGCTTACAAGTTAGAGATGAGAAATTGCTTAGATTGCAGACCTAGACTCAGATGATTACTGTGATCTATTTAGAGGCATTAAAAGGTGAAGCATGCGTGAACCATCAAGACCACTTCATATATCAACACAATGATAAACTCCAATATTCAGTTGTGTTGAAGTAAATTATTTTTGTTCTTCTGCAAACTACTGATGACATTTCTGTAACATATACAATAAAAATATCCGTGATTTCAAGCATAAAAATGACAATCGTTTAACACAGGTTTATATTAATTATTAAACAACAAAATAATACTGATGTAACACTTCAAACAAGTTAGAAAAGCAGTGGTTTGAGGAATAACCCTGGTTTTCTAAATCACAACCAATTAAAATATTTATTTTAACTGCAAAAAAGAAGTCTAAACAAAAAAAAAATACACATTTTTTAAATATTATTAAAATATCTATTATTTTTTATTTTTACATTTAACATTATTTTTACATTAAATACACATTTTTTTGTTCTCAGTGAAATCTACATTGAAATATGATCAAGACTTGGTTTGCTTGTAAATATCATCCTGTTCAATGACTAATTATTATTCCAATAGATTATTTTTTATAAACAATGTATATATTAAAATCAAAATCTACAGTGAAACACGGTCAAGACAATGGTCAAGGCTTGTAAACCTGCATCTGAAGGACCATTCGTTTAAGATGAATTTCAATGCCTGTGTTGTAATTTAAGTACTGTTTGCTTTTAAATCTTACGGCCCCTAAATGAGCTCCTGGATTTCATCTAAAATATCTTAATTTCTGTTCAAAATATGAAAGGCATGAGCATGAGTAATTAATAACAGAATAGTAATTTTTGGGTGAAGTACCATTTAAAAATAGATCAGAAAAAAATAATATCTAGAACCAGTTTATTTCTCTTGTAGAATATCCTTGATTTTCAAAATCACAGCTAAATAAACATTTATTTTGACTGCAAAAAAATAAGTCTAAACTAAAAATATACACAATCTTAAAATATTATTAAAATATCACACTGTCCAATGACTAATTATTACTCCAATAAATTTTATACTAAATATACACCGTTTTATCAAATTCTACAGTGAAATATGACCAAGACAATTAAAAGTTGAAACCTCGAGAGTGAAACTTTCAAGTCTGATGGCTTGCTTGTAAACCTGCATCTGAAGAACATTCTGTTCAAGATGGGTTTGAGCACATTGTGATTAGAAATGTACAAAACAGTCGATATCTCTGAATATCAGCTTTCAGAGTCCGTCTGTTCCTTCCTAAACACAACACCCACTTCTAGACGTCAAAACAACCACCTAAATATAGACAGTCAAGATGCCTCCAATATCTACACCCACCAACCATCTCTCTCATGTGTCTAATGACATAAGTGAAACCAGCACTGATGCAATAAGAACACGATTTGCGTTTCCAGCTAAAGCTCATCCATGTTGACACTCGACATCCTACATGACATTTTAGAACCTTGAAAGCATGCATCAAACCCAATGACATCAATTATCTTGGTTTCAATTTAGACATAGATAATGTATACGCCATAAGTAAACCAGAAAATACAGTCAAGATTAAACTCAAACAACTGGGCTCTTTGGCAATAAAGGACCAACAACTATTTTGAACTGCACAAGAAGTAAATTACAAACATCTCATCTCACTGATCATCTTGTTTTAAAGAAGAAATGCTTTTTTTAACTGGACTTTGTTGTAAGATCTCCAATCTTAATTTTCAAAAGTGTACTCAATGAAGGGACATTGCGTTTCAGGTTATACACTGACCGTTTATAGAAGTATCCCATCGTGATGCCTCCTCCAAGTAGGATGATAATGGCCATCATGAAGACAGCGAGAACATAACCTGACAATGTAGGAAAATCAACCAATTTAAGCATGAACTCCAGTTTCTTAGATTTAGTTTAAGGTTATAGCAGGGCTGCACGATATTGGAATAATCTGACATTGCAATATGACATTCTCCTGCGCTTAATATTGTGCTTATGAATATAATTTCACCAGATGAATTGAACAGCTCCATTTTAAAGATTACATTTACTTATTTGGATTGGGACACACACGTCGCTATATCAATGCTCAAACGATATATTGTGCAGCCCTAGGTTATAGTCATTTTAACCCAAGACCTACCAAGAGTCCCAAGGTCTTTTTTCTTTTTGGGTCCACTTCTGACCTGCTGGCGGACCCCTTTCACGGGCTGCACCGCTGCACCCTCCACCTGTGAGGGGAAAGAGTTTGCAGGCTCGAACGTCTCCACCATTCTTTGGGTGAGTCCCTGAGTGGGGACAGACTCTTCTGGAGCCGGCGCTTCAGTGGCATTTTGGTCTGCAGGGTGACAGAACACAGTTTTAAATTTGTAGCTAAATAAGTCCACTATCCATGTCTTTACTACAATACTTTGTTTTTGTTTTGGGACTTTGCCATTTTAAAACCTTAAAATGATGACAGAACTTTTTAACTCTTTTAGCACTTTTTGAAATTCTCATCGGGAAAACCCTGTATTGTTGTTGGGGATTATTACAAGACTTCTGAACTTTAATGTTCTAAAACACATATAGTGTAATCAATGTCAATGAAGTTACTATATATGGTTCCTCAATCAAACAGCAGAGATGAAAAATTTGACCCTAGGTTTTACTACCATTTATTCTTTTAAATACCATATTTAACCCCAGGTAAAGTAGACTTTCACACTTGTAATATTAAAAGTGGGGTTAGCAATGCTTTTAACCTGGGGTAAATTCTTAACCACTTCTGCAGTGTTAATCCTGCAATAAAGTTTGCAATCTGCAAACATCAGAATACGAACACCCAGAATTTCTTGTTACCCCAGGTTAATTTGGAGCAGTGTGAAAAGGTCATAAACTTTACTCAGGTGGACCGCTCAAGTATATTAACAGGCACCCAAGTATATTTGGTGACATTTATTTTTTACTATTATCATCATTTTACATTTTTCTTTGTATCCACCCATTAGCCAAACATCTACAATCGATTAACCAGTAGAAAATCTCTTGCCCTACAAGTTACCTACTTATCTTTGTGAGTGCAGAAGAACGGTCCACTCCCACAGACAATCTCATGTGTTCTGCAGAGACCCACAGAGACGCGCCTTTTTGGGACTTAAGAATTAGTTCAGGGTTTCTAAATCCTCTAAAATGTCTGGAATATTGGTTTCACTTCTAAAGTTGTCATTAACTGTATGCGTTTTGCATTACATTTTTATTTTAAGCCTGATTTACTTTTGGTCAGCTTTGCAGCTGACAGCATGTGCACATTCTCAAGAGCGAGAGAAATGTTATATAATTTATTCTTTGATCTAAACAACTCAAATAAACTTTTCTACATACTCAGAGAGGACGAAAACACGTGTAACTTGTTGCTAAATATTTGTACATGATTAGAAAATTGTTAATTAACCTATTGCCTTAGTTAAATAATCTACACTTTCTATTCTTGTAATTATAATATATTTTTAGACATTGTCTATTTTTGTTCATTAGTCACTTATTTCTCATGTACTGCATACATACATACATACATACAAAAAATTATTATTACATATATTTTTTACTTGATATTACATATTTTTCACATATCTCACATGCTTGGCAATACTGGACAAAATGTCATCAGCAGATTTTACCTGCCAGTGGATTTTACCTGCCAGAATAGAAGGTAAAACAAAGTGGATTTCTTTTTTTAGTTCAACGGTACTTCAACCCATTGAAAAGAAACAGTCATAATAAATTGAAATATTGTTATTATTATAAGTTTTTTGTCGTATGTAGATAACTATGTGCCGTGGGTAATATGTGTGTCCGGCTACCACTGCAGGTATATTTCAAACCCATGGGAAACACTGTAACATACAGTTACTTTTTCCAAATCTAAAAATCTTATTGAAAGATTAGAAGTGACAGAAATTCTGTTTCTTCTTGTGACAGGATAGAAACTGATAATTTAAACATTTACAGTTGAAGTCAGAATTATTAGCTACCCTGAATTGAATTATTAGCCCCCCTGTTTATTTTTTCCACAATTTCTGTTTAACGGAGAAGATTTTTTTAAACATTTCACACATTTCTAAACATAAGTTTTAATAACTCATTTATAATAACTGATTTATTTTAGCTTTGCCATGATGACAGTAAATAATATTTAACTAGATAGGTCAAGACACTTCTATAGTTTGAAGTGACATTTAAAGGCTTAACTAGGTTAATTAGGCAGGGTTGGATGATGGTTTGCTCTGTAGACTGTCAAAAACAAAATAGCTTTATTCTAGCCAAAATAAAACAAATAAAACTCTTTAGAAGGAAAAAAATATTGGGAAAAATTCCTTGCTCTGTTAAACATCATTTGAGGAAAAAAAAAAAAAAAAAAACTCAAAGGGAGGGGTAATAATTCTGACTTCAACTGTTTATATAACTGGATTGAAAGGTAGCAGATCTGAATGCAATATTGCAAAAAGTGGAAGATTCATACAAACAAAATAGTTGGAGCACACCTTACCAAAAAGACATCCGTTTTCACTGAATGAGTGTTTTAATTTAAAAAAAGTAGTATGCATGAATTGATAAGATCAATAGCATCAATACTCAGTAGGGTCAATTTTTAATTTCATGCTAACTTTAATACAGCTAAAATATGGAGAGATTTGAGAAAAAAAAACAAAAACTCTTAACTGCTCATTGAAAGCACTTTGCAGAGCACAAAGTATTAGTTTGATTCTATGTTACTGTGAACAAAACTCTAGCCTATACTACACTCACCACACAAATAGGACATTTAGCTCTTCACACGCAATGAGAAAAAGTTAGTCTATTTTTATTTAAATAGGACATCAGGCGGACGGGATGTTTCAGAGGTCCCATAGGAAGAATTCACAGCTAAGGACTTTAGCATGTGCTCCTCATGCAGTAGGTCCTCTAGAGTTTTTCCACAACCCTCTACTCTGAAAAAGTTGTTTACACACTGGGGTAGAGTTAAAGAACATGCGGTCACAGCTCAGACAGCCAATCAGTAGCTGTCGCCGTGCTGAGCATGTTTCTCACAGCCAACCAAAATCCCAGAGGGGAAGGCCTTCAACTTCTCAACAGCTGCAGAACAAGTTTCCTTGTTTTGATCCTTTGTCCTAACTGAGAAAAACTCAAGGCTGATGAGTCTAGACTTGTGTTATTGTTCAACTTTATCTGGCCTTTCAGCAAGCTGATAACATGCTGATTAAAATTAATCAACTGGTTAAAACGAAAAAAGTTTCTTTAAAAGGAGCGAACACTTAATTAAATTATTGACAATTGCATCATCAAATGATGATTAATATTAAAATAAGTTTTAAAGTAAGCTCAGGGGAAAGTCAATGCATTTAAATATTTGATGCTGGTCCTGTTTACTCCCTAAAGGGCGTTTGGCAGCCGATTTCAGTTTCCCACAAAAAGCAGCTTTCTGTATTGCACAAATATTTTTAAATTCACTCCCATCAGATTCTTGGAAAACTGTACGACTTAAAGTGTGAGAAACAGAATAACATGTTGGTAAGACCCAGTTGTGAAATACCAGAGAAAGACACAAGTTAAATAAATCACTTTCATAAACCAAAACCAATGCCATGATGATCTTCCCCCAAAACACTACGTGCATTAAGAAAAATAACTAAGTAAATTAAGTAAAAACTTAATTTAAGGCGTGTTAACAGTTGTTATTCAGATCTTTTGTAAAAATATTTAAAATTTTTTTTTTACTCAGCATACTGTCATTTTTAAGACTGAACTGAAAGATCCCCGAAATTGACTTTATAATAGATGTCAAAAAAAAAAAGGGAAAAAAAAAAAAACCATTGTGCTGGGCTGCACAAGTGATTGGGATTTAGAAGTTCATAAAGACTTTATAAAATGTTTAAAGGAATCAAAACAGCTCACTAAAATCAAACATCAAAATATTGTATCAACTGTATTAGGCAATGCAGCTTTGATGATGAGAAGCAAGCAAGCATGATTACATCTTTTAATTGATTCTGTCTTTTTATGATCACATGTTGTGAATTTAAATTTTTTTTAAAAACAGTTTGAAGTGATTTAGATTGTGAACCAATGCATGTGCAATTGCACATTAAAACAGTTTGATATGAAGAATAAATATGACTACCTTGGCATATCCTGATATCACATGCTTCTTTTTTGGTTTCTCCACTTGACCCGGAGACATAGCACCAGGGTTTATTTGAACCATCTGGATTACGACAGAAATTGTGATCTCCAACACCTATTGGAAAAGAAATAATTAAATTAATTTTAATAATTAAAAAAAAAAAAAAAAACTTTACATTTTCTGAAAACTATGTTTGTGTTCAGGTTGTAGTGTTCCCACATGCACACCCAGAGAAATGCCCTGGCCTGGATTAGAGAATCGTGATTGCTCAGCTTTTCTGAGTTAGGGCTCATAGTATCATCTGGGCAGCATGCCCACGTCATACATAACCATAATGTACTAAATCTATAATCAGCATCAACATTGACAAGTTTGCATATTGCACTCTCAAATGAAGGGATGCAATCTGTAAGAATGCACAAATGTACTTATTATAATTTGATTTCACCAAATATGATTACACAGTGAAATATTGTGGTTTTGAAAGAGTTAATTAGCATTTTTATATGAAATTAAAAAGAAGAAACAAGTTACCCGTCTGTGAGTCTTTAAACTTCAGGTTTAGACTCCTCCAACTGAGGCACGTGCTCCCTGAAGATGTCTTCTGTTGAGTTCCTCTGTAGTCCTCCCCATTATTTGTGATACACTCTGAGAAAAAAAAAAACTTCAACTGATCAGTTCCGTTTGGAATTTGCAAATTATTAAATTCTCGTGTTTTAATAAAAGCAAATTCCGCATATACAATTATTAATAACAATATGTTTGTATCCCGATAAAATAGTGTTATTGTTATTCTGAAACGCTACCGAACGACCGTGTAAAACACCAATGCATAGGAAAATATACCCCTGTCACTCGTGCATCGACTCGTTGAACCAAATCAAAATAAAACATTTTTTCTCCAAAAAAAAAAAAATACAACTTAGTGCAACAAACCGAAATGCGGTCTTACCTTTAACAACAGACAGGCAGTCTACCAAACCAACGCTCAGCAGGAGCATGAAGTATAGCCGTCCAAACATTTTCATTTGTCTCAATTGATATCAGCAGCGAAAACAGCTATTTTTCATAAGAAATAGCGATAAAAAGCGATCTGTTTTAATGGACGAGCCTGTGGTGAATCGAGCCACACTGCTCTCCAAACACTGCAGTCGTGCTGTTGTTTTGGGTTGTGAGTGGTAAACAGCTTCAGCCTGTATGTGACTGATTAGAGATACTCCCTTTTGCAGAGACTCCGCCACCTCCGGGTCCTAGAAACAGCAGCTTCTCTCAATATGATGCACACGGTACATGTGAATCAAAAAACGATACGTGGGCTAAATGACCAGAATGTTCCAGGAGACATTCTACTGTGCTTGTACACATTTTTACACAAATTGGTAGAAATAGAATTTGCTATTATAAAGATTAACCATTGTGTGATGTTGGAGATGTTTTCATTCATTCTAGGATTCTGAGGCTTAATTTGGTCACATTTTGTTTGGCTTTCAGCGAATAGAAATATTTTTGGTGTTAAATCTTATTTTGTCACATATTTTTGGAAAATGCTTTGGAATTTTTCAAAAACTCAACGATACATTCTGGGCAAATTGACTACCCTTTAATTTTTGGCTGTTTTTGCCCCATTAACTTCTATAACAACATTTTTTGATTGCAAAGCCATGACACCTTATATTCATGCATTCCTAATTGCTTGTGGTTTTTCCTTTTAGGAAGTCCAACAGGTCAAATTTGGGATTTTTACTGTTGGGGATTAAGGGTGGATAGTTTTACCATTTAGATAATTAGTCAAATTGTAAATACCTAATCAAACATAAGACATTTAACTTAATGCATTTAGGCTCATAGATTTGGGACCTGTTCCACAAAGCAGGATTAGCTAGCTAGCCATTGGTTTAGTTTGCACCAATCGTTTTAGGTAACATGAAGGCATAGTATGCAATGTCAAAGATGTAGTTCACTAAACTTAAATGGCCTCCACAGACTCTAGATTTCAATCAGAAAAAAGTGCTTTTGAATGTGTATATGCAATAAATTGACATCGCAATGTTACATATTTCATGTTTTCATTTTCAGGCTGCAAGAAGTAAAGTAGGTCAAAGTCATCATCACAACATCATTCATACGTACATGCATATACTTCATGTGTTCTTTTTAAAATCTGATAAAGAACATTAAACCAAGTGAATCATGTTTCTAACTTATTTATCCAAGTTACACAAGCCATTTAAGAAAATTTATAGTAATTTAAAGGAAAAGCTCATCAAAAAAATGAATACTCTTTCACCATTTCCTCACACTTTACAAAAGGATAGTTAAAAACAGCCATTGACCTCCAAATGTATTATGGAAGTCAATTATTGCTAGTTTTTCATCATTCATCAAAATATCTTCCTTTGTGTTCAAAAGAAGGAAGAAACTCAAACAGGTTCGAAACAAGTGGAGGATGAATAAATCACGTCTGAATTTTTATTTTTGGGTGAATTAACCAAACAACTCATAAGATTCATTTGACTAAAAAAAATATTTAGGCAACCATGTAATTGTTTTATCTCCTGAGGCGACACTATATAAAAAAAACGAGCAAAACACAGGGTTGATTAGTGACCTGACAATCAGTGTTTAAAAGAGATTCAGCTTCTGAAACAGCAATTCCCTCAGAATGGATAAAACACATGCACTCTTCTGTTTTGTTTATAGTCATGCTCTTTTTGTAAAGAGTTTCTAAATGGTACACTCTGGACAACTCCACACTGACATTTCCCTTTGTTTTGCATCCATCCCCTTTGTTAAGTACAGTATAAAACTATTATGAAAACAGCTTTCTCTACAGTTCTGCACAGTGAAAGCATCACTTTTTTGCCTTAACTCATTAAACCCTCTTAATCTGTAGAAACTTCAGATTTAACAAGACCAGCCTGCTGCTTTTCCATGGGGTTCCTGCCAGCTTAACTGACCCACTTTTATTTTCCCAAGTAATTACACAAAGTTTTCAGAGTAAAAAATGCAGTAGGACAGGCAGCTTTTTCACTTTCTTTTCTTTTCTTTTTTTTGAGTTCAGATAATCAGTGAGTGCAGTGTTTCTGTTTTAATGTTTGTGCTGTTTTTGACAGCTAGTCACTACACTTGTTTGTTTCAGAAGTTCTACCTGTTGTGAAATGCTGTGTGACTGGTTTGTTTTAAAAAGTGTTATTGCCCTAAAGAAATCTGATGTATGGTCTATAGAAGCACACTTAATCATGAACACACAACAACACTATACACTACCTGAGACACAATTCTTGTCATCAATCCCAGTTGTAAGAGCAACAAATAATAACTTGACTTAGTTGATCATTTGCAAAAGTGGCAGAAGGTAGATTTTTCAGATAAATCATCGGCTGAACTGCATCTCAATCATCACAAATACTACAGAAGACCTATTGGAACCCTCATGGACCCAAGACATAAAACTCAGTCAAGGTTGGTGAAGGAAAAATCATGGTTTGGGGTTACATTCAGTATAGGGCCGTGTGTGAGATCTGCAGAGTGGATGGCAACTTCAACAGCCTGAGGTTTCAGCACATTTGTGCTGCCCATTACATTACAAACCACAGGAGAGGGCATAGGAGAGCTCTGCTCCTCATACTTCAGCCTCCACGTTAAAGTTCCTAAAAGCAAAGAAGGTCAAGGTGCTCCAGGATTGGCCAGCCCAGTCACAAGATATGAACATTATTGAGCATATCTGGGGTAAGATGGAGGAGTTGAAGATGAGTCCAAAGAATCTTGATGAACTCTGGAAGTCCAGCAAGAATGCTTTCTTTGCCATTCCAGATGAATTATGAATAAACTATTAGAGTCATTGCAGAGATGTATGGATGCATTCCTTCAAGCTCATGGGAGTCATACACAATATTCACTTTCCAAAGGCACCATCAGTTTATATTTTATACTGTACATTATTTCTGTTGAGTGACAAGACTTTTGTCTCAGCAAAGTCAGACCTTACTGTCCTAATTAAATAACTAAAAATCAAGGGATGATCATATTTTATTTTGGTAAAATAAGCGTAATCTAGAGGCCTTTGCCTTTCATATAAGCCACTTCTCATACCAAATGATCAACTAGAAGTCAAATTATTATTCGTTGTTCCTAAAACCGGGATAGTCGATAAGACTTTTGTCAGGTAGTGTATATAATTATAGTATTATAGTTCATATATTTGAACGTATCTACAAATTTGTTGCGTTTATGTAAATGTTGCATATGTGACTTATATAATAATGTGAAGCCATTTTGAAAGCTTTTCAAAAGGTCATTTTCAAACAGTCATAAACAGAATAGTGAAAAAACGCTAAACGGATCCTGCTTAACACAAACAGGACTAATACTCCTACACGATTTTTCTTAAATATGACCATATAAGGCAAACAGGAAGGAAAACGTGGGACAGTATGGAGAAGACAGAGGATAATGAGTGGAAAAAGCCAAGGCAAACAGACTGCTCTATTGAGACATTGTAAAAAGACTACCATATGTTACATTTGCACATATAGATGCCTCACATTAAATAGCTATCTTTAAAAATAGCTTATTTGTAGCATAATTGAAAGTTTTAAGATCTTTTCTTTTTTTAATGCTTCATCCAGAACAAATAATCAAAGTGCCCAAATCTTTGCACCTGTCTCTTTTTGTTCTGTCTTAAATTGTTTTTTATCTGTTGATGAAATAAAGGCTACATCAGAACTGAAATGTTGTTTTTTCACTGGGGTATAAAATATATCCAAATGAAATTGCTGATTTGAAAGGCCAGCAGGCTATGGCTTGTCTTGCAATTCTAAAATTGAACAGTGGTGGCCAAACTTTGGCATAAAACTGTATTTATATATTTGATCAAAAAGCATTGTAAAATGTTTATTTATTCAAACTGGCTTTTTTAAATTGATTAAAGCTATAATCATGATCAAATCCAATGATCATGAACTAAAAAAGTCAGATAGTTGATAAAAATAGACAAATAAACATTTTAATTGCGTTTACTTGATGTAAAAGAATAAAAAGCAGTAAAATCATAAATGATAAAAAAAATGCTCCATAATTAAAAGGAAAAAGAAGAAAAAGGAAAAAGAGTTGTTGCATGTTAAAATACCCCCTGCCTCAAGAAATGTCCTCTAGACTCTAAAACAATCAATACATCATTTAGAATACAACTGACGCATTCATAGACGAGTGTAAATCCTTTCGGCATTCACTGCAAACTCAAGACCATCTGGTCTGCTTATGGCTACTGGGAAACCCAGCTGGGTCTCAACACCGAGCTCAGTGACACGCAGCAACCGAATACATAATCCAACCATGAATCATCAACTAGACCAGTGCTGAGGGCAGAAAATGGACACTTAACCTGAGACAAGAGCCTCTAATGTGGGATAAAGCAGGCGCTATTCCCTTGCTGTTATGGTAGGGCATCTCTAGTGTTGCCGCAAAAGCCATTACATCACTGTTTGATGCATTTACCCCTGCAGTGGAAACCGGAGTAGACACGCTTACGCAAACAGAAGATGAGGAGTTTAGAGTGAGGAAGAAAATTGAAAGACGAAAATGTCATGTATTGTGAAGACGAGGAAGGAATAGGACAGAGAATGAGCCGCACAAACAGTGAATGAGTTCATCTAACCGAGGATGCTTTGTATCAGAAGAGGTTGGCGTGAGGCAGTTCAAACCGGTTTTGGGAAGCATTTGTGAAGCATTATCACAGCCAAGCATGAGCCTCCACTCCAGATAAAACCAACGAGGGAATGAGAGCATGAGACTGGCTTTCAAAATATCAATCAGAGAAAGAAAACAACATATATTTTAAGGGAAGACAATACAGTATATGATTGTTATTCATAGTTTAATTCATAGTGACATGACTGGAGAAGTGGAGAGCAAAAGGATTGTAGTATGGACTTCATTCATTGATTCATTTTCCGTTGGCTTAGTCCTATTATTTATCGAGGGTCACCACAGTGGAATGAACCGCCAACTTAGCCAGCATATGTTTTACACAGCGGATGACCTTCCAGCTGCAACCCAGTATTGGAAAACACCCATAAACTCTCACAATTACACACACATACACTAAGGCAAATTTAGTTTATTTAATTCACCT